GTTGTTAAGGATATTTATGTAATTGCAAATGTAGTTTCAAAATCTTAATAAAGCACTAGCGTGACTGCTTAAGTTAATAAAAAAAAAAAAAAAAAAAAAAAAAAAAAAAAAATAGCATATGTTAAATATATTGATTAGTAAAAATCACATAAAAACTTGATACAGTCAACTCTTTCTATAACGAATTGAAGATTCTGGAAAAAAAAAGCTCGTTATAGAAAATTACTATGTTCCTTAAGAACTCATGGTACTTTTTATACCAAAATACTATGAACTTATAACATTTTAAATTCATTTATATTCAGAATTCATTATAGAAAGATTCATTATATCCAGAGCCAGCTATAAAAACAATAAATAGATCATCAGAGAATTGATTATGAAAATTGATTGCTCAAAAATAGAGTTAATACAACATTAATATATAATACATTTATTTATACTTATACTTTAAAAACAACAATGTATGGCAATACAGGTGGTTCTTAAGACTTCTTATTTAATTGTTCTGTCTCTCACATAACATGAACAAGCAACTTTAAATTTTATACCTAAAGCAACTGAACCCTATGAATAAAAAAAAAGTCATTTATTAATAGGAAAAACATGTGGAGTTTGAAATTATAACTTATCAGACTCAAGTATTAAAAATCTTATAGGTTGAGTTGAAGAGTTATAAATTTAAAAACTCGAAGTCTAGCTTTTCCTTTGGATTACTCAAGTAATAAGAGCCATCAAACTAACAAGAAATATAATTAATATCATGATTATGCACATAGTAAAATAGTTGGTTTGCTAATTGACAATATGCGCATATTTAAGTCTTGTGAAACATTAAAAAGAAAATTAGTGACCTTTATTCGAAATCAAAATATACAGAATGCGGAACATATTACCATGTTAAACCATCATATATACAGCTTATAATATCTAAAAGTCTCAAAATAAGAAGCTCAATCTAATACTGTCAACACTCTCTAAATGCAACTTCTCTAAGTGCAACTTTAAATTCTGGCCTAAATATATTTTGGTCTCTATAAATGTAATTTTTCTTAATTGTTCTTTAAGTGCAAGCTGCTAAAAGTCTGGTCCCAACGAATTGCACTTAGAGAGAGTTAACTATATATAGAAAACAAAAAATCTATAAATAGGTTAAACGAGCCATTGCTGTAAATAATGTAAATGAACATAGTATAAATTATCATGACAATTATTAATAAAATAACAATCATATTAGCTACCAAAAGGTCAAATAAAAAATTATCAAAGTTTTTCAATAAAATCCCAATTTTTGATAAAATTAATTCATTTAACTTGTTTGATCTTAATTTGAATATCTATTAATAAAACTGTCTGTTTGGAGGTTCTTATTTTTTTGATAATTTTTTAAACCATGAACTGACATATGATTAATTGTATGCATTTGCACATTATGTGCATTCAATATCAATATAATTTTCATATGAGTATACTTTGAATTTGCTACAAATTCTACGTGTCTCACAAGTTTGAAAATTCCATGTATTTGCTTCATATATAATAAAATAATTCAGGTTATATGTGATCCTATCATTAATTTTTTTTCTATTTTTATTTATCCATGCAATTTTGAATGTAAATAACAAGCTAAATTGTGTACTTATCTTGAATTGCCTTGTATGTTAGCTGTGTAGTGCATATATGTATAAAGAAATTACATGTTATGCAGAATCTATACATATTAGAGATTATACCCACTGAGAAAATTTCTGCCCAGTATTATCAAATTACTCAGTTATCTGGGTAATTTATCATAGCCATCTAATAAAAATGTCTATGTGGGTACAATCTCTAATACAAATATTATAATACATTTCGCAATTTTTAATTATTAGAAACAAGTAAAAACTATATAAGTTGTTATGTAATTAGAGTTGATAGAAATTAATTCGCAAAAATCTGAACTTCACAATATATTGTTGCATGAATTGCATTCAAATGCAATATCATAATTAACTTTACACAATTTTGTAATTTACTATTAGCTATGTATTCAAATCATGTAAAAAGCATCTTTATAAAATTACATATTTTGCTTATTTTCTATTATTTAAATAAGAGTGATGTTATTATTCAATAGCCTATATATAAATTCAAACATGTATACAAAAGAACAGTTTTAACTTTAAAAACTTTCTTTCATTGACTCAATTTTACAATCAACATCGTATTGTTAACAGCTCAATAAAGCTAACTTGCTAATTAAATAAAATTGTAAACTACATAGACAGTAATTTTCACTATTATTATTGTTAGTAACTAATATGAATAAGAAAGAAATATGCTCTTTATGCAAGCATTTATTACTACCGGAGAATTTAATTTATAATAAAAAATTGTACAAGACATATGCAAGTTGCTTAACTAATAAATCCAATAAAAAAGTAGAAAAACAACTCCTTCTAATAATAATGAATTTGAAGGTCAATTAGAAAATGAAATCGAAAAAATCAGTTTTGCCAATATCATAGAATATATTTCCAATAAAATTGCTAATCTTGAGTAAAACTCTAGTATTTCTTTTAACTTGTGTATTGAACTTAATGATAATATGCTAATAAATGCATCTAATGATATGAAACTCTTGGTAAAACTAATAGTTGACAAGATAGAGGAAGGAGACAGATATATTTAGATATAAGTTGCCTTTAATTTAAGCTTCAAATCAAATTCAAATAAATAAATATTTATTTTTATATTTGCAGATTTACAACTGGCTCTACCAACTCAGTGCATCATTCTGGAGTTAGTAAGTTCTATCTTGCATGCTCTCAATATCATGAATTAGAATGTAAATATAAAGAGTCAAATCATAAAAGGATGGTTCACTTTGATTGCTATAGAAAGCTGATTATCAGTATTGATATAGCTATGAAAGAAGCAAAAATAAAACTTAGTCATGATTTTCAGCATGAGAGGCCTGTAGATGTCACAACTCCTGAAGAAATAAAGCATGAAATTATACAGAATTTTTATATAAACTCTGTGCAATTGAGAACACATATCTGTCAAAGATTTGATGCTACACAAATCACTTCAAAACAAATCAATTACTGGTGGTTTATCTTCAATCAATGCTTTTTCAAGTTAGATGAGGATCCTTTTATTTCTACACACTGCTTTTTGGATGATCCTAATAATAGTAGCAAGTTTTGTTATAAGTGGAATGACAATTTAGTTACAGCAATTGGATTTGTAACTCCATTACTAAAAAACTCCTACTAGTATCTAGTATTTATTGTGATATAACATATAAAACAGCAAAAGGGCAGTTTGAACTTTATAGAATAATCAGTAGCTTTTATAGTGCAGGCTTCCCACTTGCATATCTAATGTTAAACACCACAAATGCATTAGATAATGCTCAAATGGGGCTCTGAACCAAAGCACTTTTTAGTTTTTTTGCTCTCTTTACTCTAAAGGATTGTGATCATAAAATTTTTCCACTGACAAAGATTTCGCTCAGATCAATACCGCAAAAGAGGTATGGCTAAATATAAATGTGCAACTTTGCCTGTGGCACTAGGAAAAGGCAATAAGAAAAAAATTAGGAGTTGTAAAATAATCAAACAGACTCACTATCAGCCAAATGAAGTGATTGAAGAGTTTAGTTTTATCGACTCTGCCTTTAAGCTGATTTAAATCAAACTGATCCTGAATATTATATTATATGTCTAGTAAAGCTACAAGATGAAGTTGTTAGCCTTATTAAAAAACACTTCTATATGCATCAAAAAATACCTATCAATGTTACTAGACAATTTTTAACAGCTAATGAAATCTGTGCTAGCACAGTTTGTGAAATATATGATTTTTGTTTTGATAACCACCTTGTGCTTTTTTGGGTGTACTTATAGTCTGAATGGTATAGAATCACAAGGTGAACATTGTGGGCTCGATCAGCACAGACAACTATCTCAATTAATAAGACAAATATGTTAATAGAGTCACATTGAAAAGTTGTAAAGTGCTGTTATCTTTATTGCTTTAGCAGGCCATGATTTGATTATGTTGTGTGGATTATCTGTACATGCCTCTTGCCTGACCAACTAATTCATTATTATCAATTGTACCTAAAACGAATAGTGCCATCTTGGTTCGAAGATTTCAAAAAAGATTGGAATCAGCTTGCTGAAAAACTAATTGATAATAATAATAATAGTCGTTATTTCATTAATTCAGCATATTGAATATGTAGCTGCCCCTCATTTCTTCATTTCTGCTTTCTTATTTGTAAACATCTGGTCAAATGTGCAACAATAATAGCAAGGCTTCAAAATTTAAAAGGCATTCGGCTTTTGTATAAAAACTTTCAGTGAAGAGAAAACTATTCTTTTTTAATTTAAAATACTAATGACCACATGCTAACTGAGATTAATGCTTAACAATCTATAATTTCATCAGCTTTGCAGACTGAACCAAGTAATTTGATCAAAATAAGTATAGAAGATGAAGTGCTCAATTCAGTATCAGATAATAATTTGGTCGAGTTTGATAAAAATAATGAAGCGTTTAATCCAGAAATACACCAAATCTGTGAGGAAAAGGTTTTGGCAGTAAGATGTATGGCAAACCATCTGGAACAAGAACTTGCAGTGAATAATTTCAATTATATTACCCATGTAGTCAACAATATGGATAGATTATTTGCGATGCTAAATGATATTGAGACAGCACAAAATCAAAGAATATATAATCTGACATGGCGAGGATCAACTCCATAGACCTTATATTTGCAATAAAAGATTCAAAATAGTTTTCACTGTCAAGAAATAATATTGAATAAAGAATATAAAAACTTTTAAAATAAAAAAATAAAATACAGTAAAATAAAAAAAACTTATCTTTTATTTTAAATTAAAATATTTCTCAAATGCTATGAAATATATTAAAACACTAAGTGCTATAGCTAAAACTCACAAATATATAAAACAATATACTTGAAGACCTTTACAAATAATATTGTTATCATGTAAGGACAAAAAACCATGTCTTATTTCTTTGGCAATTTGTAATATTGTAAAATTCACTTTCAAATATCTTCATAAATTTTCATCATTTGCATATTGCAAAACAATACTATAATATTCATTATTGCCTATTTATTATAATTATCTAATCTATAAATTAAATACATATTTAGAGATAATATACCTCATAGAATTTAATATTTGGATAGTATTCAGCTCTTCTTAGTAATTTGAGATTTTATTTTAAATCATTATTAAAAAAATTTAGTATTACATCAGAAAATCATGCAAATAATAATTTAATAAATACCTTATTGATAAAATCTTAAACAAATTTTTATCTAATCTATTTTGGTATTGATTTTAAGGATTTATTAATTTTTCACCACTTTGATTGGTTCTACTAATTGCTCACATATCGGAGTATCTATGTTATTAATCAATTTCAATAGTGAAGTGGTGGAGGATCCTAATCAGATTTTAAGATATTCAAAAATAATTATTAAATAATTTAATATTATATCAGGAAAGCATACAAGTAGTAATGTAATAAATACCTCATCAATCTAATCTATTTTAGTATCGACCTTAGAACATTCAAGAGCAATCATTAAAATAATTTAGCATTATGCCAGAGAATTATGCAAGTAGTAGTGTAATAAATATCTTATCGATAAAATCTTAAATAATTTTACATGAAATTCCTTAAAAAAATCTAAATAGTTTTGTAAAGACAAACTAAACTATGCAGTATCTGATAAAGATAATTATGTAATAATACCTGTGATAAATACTAATTTTGGAATTTGGTCAGAGAGTTGAAATTACATGATCTGGAAAATCTCACCTATATTCTAAATCTGTCCTCTGTTCAAATGTTAATTCTTTTTTCGATTTGCAAGCTTTTGTACTTAGTAGATATATAGGTATGGGCATTAGCATTATCTAAAGTTGTTGTGTTGAGTTGAATTGGTAAATGTAATGATGTTTGAGGATTGTTGGTTTGGTGTATTTTGGTCTTTAGGTATTGCTTAACATCAAGTAATTTAGATTTGTTTGCATATTGCTTTGCTAATTTTATGCAGTATTATTTCAGCAGCTGTATGCTTTGTTTTTTTGTTTATTAACTTGTTAATCATTCTGCTATAGTATAGAGTAATGATGCCTTTAGTAATTATATTCTTCTGTTTGTCATTAGTATTAGATGACATTAATAATGAAGTAAGGGTTTTCAGATTTTGTGATATATTTAGTTGATGTTTGATAAGAATATTTGTGATTGTGTTCTCAATAATAGAGTTGATATTAGTGTAATTAGTATGACATTGTGTCCAATATTTATTAGTTTTAGAGTTAGTTTTACATCTTTGGCAGTTTGGGTTATTATATTTCTTAAAGTTGCATTTGTAAAATACTATTTGGATAAGTAGTTCATTAAAGAAGAATTTAATTTTGAAGGCCTTCAGATTTGAATAAAAGGAACAAGTATATCTGAAAGTAGGTTTGTTATTAAAGTTTATGAAATTATGAAAGGTTTTTCAGTCGATTTCTTCATATATTATATTCTAAGTGTTCATTTAATTTTGAGCATGCCATGTAACAACATGATCTGCATTATTAATATGTCAGATAAATCTTTTGATTACATGCTTGATGCATGTGTTGTGCCAGTTTATAGTAAAGATATCATGTCTTATTGCTGTATGGTTTATGCTAAAATGATGTATAGTAATGTTGGATCTGATCATAATATTCAATGCTTCATTATATTGAAGCTAGATTTGCTGAAATCTTTGTTTAATAATTGCTTTTAGTGTTAGCCAGCTAGGCCATAATGAGGTTTTGTAGGTCTGGATATTATGCCAAGATGAAGTATTTAGAACAAACTCTGCTTTTTATATAAATTGTTTTTTGTTAATATGTATGATTATGTTTGTGTTTTCGTAAGTACTAAGTGCAATGCATATTAGAGCTATGTATAATGCTTTGTTAGTGCTTGGCCAGCTATAGTTATTAAAGCAAAACTGAGATTTTGATTTGTCATTTTTCCAAATAACTGAAGTAGTTTCTGTTAAGTTTGGTTTGTGTGTTAGTTGATTTATTTTTAGTGTGTTTTGGTACATGTTTTAATATCTTCTGCTGCCTTTTGAGGTGATATTGAATTGGTTATATCAGTAAAGATTCATTGATATAATTTGATAAATAATTTGTTAACAGGCTTAGTTATAGTTTTTGATTAGACCTATTGTCGAACTGTATTGTTGCTAGTTCTTCTGTATTATATCTGATGTTGTGTTTGGAGTCTACTTTGATTTGTCCAAGGTGTTCAATAGGATGGGTTGAAGTACATTTTGTTTTTTTGTAGTTGCATTTTGTTAAGGTTGCATTTAGGGCATGGTTGTAGAGTTGTACTATTTGATGTTATTATCCAGTAATGTATTGTTGCATGCTGATTTTTTATAGAAGATATCTTTCCTATACTTTTTATTTTAGAATTGTAGATTCAGTCTTTCTTGTTAACCTGTTTGGCTTTAAGTGTATAAAGGTTTGATATAAGCAAAATGTGCCTCTTATCTCTAATAATTTCATTAGTTTTCTGACTTATATATTCAAACTATTTGGGTTTTCTGCCTCTCTGAATTTTTGTTATAGTTTGTGTGATATGCATTCAGCTAAGCATTTGTGATTATGTATAATTTGTGCATTGTTCTATTGCATAGATTTCTAAATTATTAAGTTTTGTTTTAATTTTGTAAGTTGATTTGAGTTGTTATAAAGAATAATTTATAGTTGTGCCTTTAAAGACTAAGGGTTTGGGCCAGATGTTAGCATGTTTTATTGACACTTTTGCTTAGGGTAGTCTTTGTAGCATTCTGGCTGTAGTTGAGAAATGTTCTTCCTAGCTTAAGGTATATAAATGGTCAATTAATATAAATGTGCTTGTTGCAGCTGCATTTTGGATTTGTTGTAGTCGAATTTTGAGTATAAAGTTGTAGAAGTTATGATAATTAAGTTGGTATATTATTTGAGCAATATATTGTTAATTTTGTATTTTATTAACTTTCTGAAGAGCATATATTTTATTATAGAACATTGTGAAGTTTAGGATAGATATAGCCATGCCTGTTTTATGTTTTGCTATAGTTGTATAGCTATATGTAATTTTATTATAAATGGTATCTGGTAACTTGAAGTTTTGTATATGGTAGGCAATTCTAGTAAGTATTACTGAATTGATTATGTAAATGGCTTGTTTTTCTGTAATTTTTGCATATTTGAGTTTTTTGATTGTGTCAATTGCTTCTTCCATTATAATTTAATGTATAGAAGTTTGTCTTTTTTCTATTGTAAACTAGCATCCAAGAAATTTGAATGCTTTTTTTGTTGAGATACTAGTAATTGGTATGTTGTTAAATGTTATGCTAGATGTTGTTTTGGTTATGATTGTTGCTAGAACTGATTTTGTTGAGTTGATCTAAATATTAGTTAGGTTGTAGAATGTAGTTGCAGTAGTTATTATTTTAGATAGTTCTTCTTTTGATGTTGCAATCCAAATAGTATTATTCATGTATGCTAGTACTGGATGGTTGATTTTGTAGGTAGTACTATTGTTGTTTAGAATAGATATTTTTGTCTTCATTTCATATCCTTTATGTTTCTTGGTAATTTTTTTTAGCAAAGAGTCATAGTATATGTGCCATAGTAGAGGGTGATTGTCTCTTCTTGATCTATTTCATCATGGACTGGATATTTTGATATGTTGGTAAAGTTTGTGATTACTGAATTTACACGCTCTTTAAAAATGTTACTTATTAGATTAATTATGTTTTTTGATATTTTTATTTACTATAAAGCTTTGCATAGTAGTAGGATATGGACAGAGTTGTAGACTTTTGACATGTCCTGTGATAATAGCCATAGTTTTTGTTTAGAGACATTTGCACTTTCTATAATATATATTAGAGTAGATATTAGTTTAGCTATAAAAGTTTTCAGCAAAGCTACATAGTTGCTATTGTTAAGTATAGAGTATCTAGTAAGGATATTGTTAAGCCAGTTAGTAATTATTTTTGTTAAAATTTTTTGAATATGTTCTATGAGAGTTATAGGTCATGTATTATTTAGTTGTTCTGTAAATTTGGGTTTTTTAGAAATAGAGTGAATGTTTCTATGTTTCCATGTTTTTGAAATCATATTTAGTGTTAGGCATATATTTAATATTATGCAAAGTTGTGTTAGACCAGTGCTACCCAAATGTTTTAGCATCTTGTTTAAAATGCCATGTGGTTCAGTTGTTTTACAAGTTGGTGATTTCTTAATGGTCTCGTCTAGCTCTTTCAAAGTAATTAGATCAGAGATATTCTTGTACCAGCAGTTTGAATGTTGTTTATAGGTTTGTATTCTTCTTCCTACTCCTTCTAGTAGTTCCAGTTTGGAGAATTAGATTTTGTCCAGTTCTCATAATATGTTTGTACTTTTTTTTATATTGCTACTGGTTTTGTAACAACTTTATCTGCATTGCAAATATTGTGAAGAAGGACTGGATCTGTATGTTTTTTTAATATGCTATTGATCATGTAAGTAGTGTTGTTATTAAAGTCATTATATCTTTTGTTGATGTATTTATTGATTGTGCTTTGGTGGGCAAGATTGTTTTCTACTTTTCTGGCTTGGTATATTGTCTTTTGTTGATCTTTTAGCTATGTTATTAGTGCCTTCTTATTAGTAGATGTCAGGTCCTCTGATATGATGTA